CGAGGCCGAGTCTGATGACGAGATGGAGGATGCCAACGGCGCCGAGTCCATCGGCTCCGTGTCTGACGACACCGATGGCGAGCGCCCCACCGACAAGGCCGAGCGCAAGGCCCAGAAGGCCAGGCGCAAGGAGCGCGAGGAGAGGAGGCAGAAGAAGGCCGAGCAGGATGCCAAGCGCGCCGCTTCGACGCCCGCCAAGGCCACCAAGGCCGCTTCATCGACGCCCGCGAAGCTCTCCGAGGCCGACTTCGAGCGCCTCGCCGCCGCTGCCAACGTCAGCGTCTCCAAGTTCAAGAGGAAGTTCGAGCGCGGCGATGTCGAGCTCAACGCCGACGGAACCCCCGTCGTCTTCAGCAAGAAGGAGCTCAAGAAGCTGCGCAAGTCCGAGGGCGAGACCCCTGACGCTACTCCCGTCAAGGAGACCAAGAAGAAGCGCAAGCACGAGGATGACGAGGAGACGCCCAAGAAGGAGAAGAAGTCGAAGAAGAAGCGCCAGTCCCTGGGCGCATAAGTCTCTCTGCTTGTCTCTTGTTATCCTTGTATGATACCTTGTGGGCTCTTACTCTTTGTTACGGCCGGCGTTGGAATGGGTTGGGACGGTTGGCTTACGGTTGCATTGTCTCTCAGATGCTGGCAATTTAAAAAGCATTCAAGTTCCCTGATGTTTGCGTGCTACCCGGGATGCATCTGGGACTCGGTTTCGAGGCATACTAGTAGACAGATGTTGAGGTAGTGGAGTTATTTGCATCTTCTTCGAATCTGAACTGCTCAACAGTGATGTATCTGATGTGATGTGAGATGTGACTGCATGCTCCTGAAATTGTCGAGCTCTGCCCGACAACAATCTGCTCCAAAATTTAGGCTGGGCAGGTGCTTGTCCCCACACGTGACACCACGACGCGCCGTTCTCTTCACTCACAATTGCAGCATCACACGGCAAGAGCAAGCGCGCTTCGGATTGAGGTCCGATATTCTCCCGGCATGGACGACATCCAGCGTGGTGCAAGGAGAGCTCGACGTGTCGCTCAGAATTCAGCCGCAATCCGAACTCCCGAGGTTGCCAGCTCACCAGTCGGGCCTTCAATTGAAGGCGAACCTCAGTTCAATGCCGCCCAACGCCTATTGATGGACTATTATGAAGCACGTGGAACGCCACCATCACAGAGAGGTAAGCATGTCTCGCACTCGACTTCCCTGTTGGCTTGCACCCTCGAGTATGATACCTCTGCGCCCGACTACCCTTGGGCGTTTGACCTGAGTTTCAAGGGCCAACCCAAGCTGTTATTGTCAAGCCGTCCTAAAAGTCACATCTTAGAGTGCTGAAAGCCATTGCATCTGTTACAAGGACCACATTGTTGACCAAGCCCAGTAGTTGGACCGCACCTCACACCAGAAGGCCTTCCGGCCACTTCACCTTGGCAGACAATGTTCGCCAGTTCAAGACAGTCGGGCCAAGGCGGCGCCCCTGAATCCCGGCCAACAGCACAAGACTTCCCCGACGAAGAGGAATACACCAGCCCCGAGGAAAACGGCGAAGAGGAAGACGTCGGTGACGAGCTTGAGGATGATGACGAATTGGGTCGCGACCAACTGGAAGATGAGCTCGAAGAGCAACAAGAGGCCAACACGCTACCGTTCGACCCCAGCTCTCTCGGCCTGAAAGAAATCTCCAACCTGGGCAAGTTTACTGTCAGCAGTCACAAGCCTGGCAGTGGCGTTGAGGAGCTGCGGAGTGATGACACGGAGTTATATTGGCAGTATGTTTCCTTCTCCATCGTATCTCAACAATTCTAACGTGCTGCAGATCCGACGGTCCTCAGCCACACAAGCTGACCGTGTACTTCGTCAAGAGGGTGGGCATCAGGGACATCCGATTCTACGTTGACTACCAGCGGGACGAATCTTACACGCCCACGAAAATCATTTTCCGCGCCGGAACCAGCGAAAACAACCTCATTGACTTCCACGAGATGTCACTCACCACGCCCAGCGGTTGGCAGCAGGTCCCTCTCGAAGGCGTCGGCGGCGGCCCTGACGACAATACTCTCGCATGCTGGGTGTTCCAGATGAAGATTGCCGAGAACCACCAGAACGGCAAGGACACACACCTCAGGGGCATCAAGATCTACGCCGCCAACACAGACACCCGAAGTGCCGACAGGGGCGGGAACCCTATGGCGAATATGGTGGAGCTCATCGAGAGCTCTGTACAGAGGCCCAGTGGCGTAGATCAGTGGACAGAGGAGGATTCAGAGATGAGGATACATCGACTTGATCGGAGGCTACGGGCACAGAGGCTGGATGCTGGTGAGGGAGATATGGACGTCCCTGACTTCATGCGGGAGCCTCAGATCCGATGATAGCCGTATGATTGGAGTCTTGTCACAAGTCTGAAGGACTTGACTTGACGGTTGACATGTTGTTACGACTGGAGTAGGGGGGCGGACTGGCGTGCTATACCCTGATCACGAAGGATTGAGGGATGCTATCACAAAAATAGACCAACATGAACTCAGCGACATTCCTACGCCTGCGCCCACCCTTCTATATGAGTTTTATGGTAATAGCTTTTAGAAAGAACAACAGTGTGCAGGCGACTTTGCCTTCGACCTCTTTTCCAACTTTTTTTTAAATGAAATACTATTAAGTCATTCTAGATCGCAACTAGAGACGTCCGTACACCGGGAAGGAGCGGCTGAAGTCCCCAGAATCTCGAAGATATTCAAAATAAACCTTTGAAATGGTCCAATTGATTCATTTCACCGGAAGCGGTTACTTACCTCCCGGTTGCCAATGTGTCGTGGATTCAGTCCGATTCCCAACAACGGCCGGCTTCAGGTTTCTGATTACCTAAGCACCAACCTCATCGCCGGCGCCGCCTCCAGGAGCGCAACTGAAGGAACTCCCATCCATCAACCACCACCACCGCCATATCCACTTTCGACCTCACCGGAAGAAGTGCCCATCATGGCGACGAACGAACCCGAGAACGTTACCCAGGCGACAGCCAACAAAGATGAGAGCGCTGAGCAGACCGACCCTGCTCCCGCCCAGAACGGCGACCCGGAGACACTGCCCGATGCAATTGCTCCACCCCCAGAGCCCAAGGTGCAGACGCGTAAGGACATGTCGCTGCGCGAGTTCCTCACCAAGATGGACGATTATGCCCCAATCGTAAGTCGCGACTCCTTCCGAAAGCCTATGGAGTGCTGTCCACTAAACGCAAGATGCGTCCAGGTCCCTGACGCTGTTACGAACTACTACATGACCAAGGCCGGCCTTCCCCCACCACCGCAGACCGACCCGCGCCTCGCGCGCCTGCTGGCGCTCGCGACACAAAAGTTCGTCGCAGATATTGCAGCCGATGCATACCAGTACTCTCGCATCCGCGCGTCCAACACGAACGCCAACAACCCCATGGGCAACCTCGGCGCGGCCGCTGGCTTCCCCATCCCGGGCCAGCAGGCAGGACCTTCGGGCACGGGCGCCAAGGATGCAGGACGCGGAGGACCTCTGGGTATCCAGCGCCCGGGCTATGGCGGCGGCGGTCAGGGTGGAAGTCAGAACAGGACTGTGCTGACCATGGAAGACCTCGGTATGGCCGTGGGCGAGTACGGCGTCAACATCAAGAGGAGCGAGTTCTACCGCTAGACGGGCGGGCATCCTTCTTCACTATGCATTTCAGAGACGGCACACACATTAGGCGGCGTTACAGGAGGATGGGCACATCCTGGCGGAAGGCGTTTGGGCAGTCGGGTTTCATGGCCGGAATCACCTGAGACCATGGGTCAATGAACACTCGTGAGGTTCCATGTCGGCCCGGCTACAGGGCCAAGGGCGCAGAATTTGGACAGATTGGCCAATGATTGAGACAATGTTTAGATTTCTTCTTGGTACAGTTGTGACAATGGTGTTGTACAGTCGTGCCAGACCCAGATGGTGTGAACCGTGAACGCCGCGCAAAATGCAACTCGAATCCCGCCTGACGGGACTCAACCCCTAGACCAGATGAACGGCTTCCGTGTCCTGCTCTCTGTTAGTGCCTGCCTTTGGGTATCTGCTGTATGGGAGTGCGTACGGCGAGAACTCCCCGAGCTTGTGTCCGACCATTTGCTCGGTGACGGTGAAGTCGTTGTAGACCTTGCCGTTGTAGACCTGGAACCTCAGGCCGACAAAGTTGGGAAGGATGGTGGCGGCGCGGGCCTGAGTCTTGATCGCAGGCAGCTTCTTGCCCGGGGCGGGTCGGACAATGGGAAGGCTGTGTCGAGAGTTAGGGTCGCATGTCTGAATGGTTGTACATCGTTCGAGGAGCTTACGGCACAATGTGCGGGCCTGTAGATGGATTGACGTTAGAGGAGAAGCTTCAAGGAAGGGGCGAGCTCTGGAGGAACATACCCTTCCACACGGATCGTGATAGGAGTGCTTGGGTGGGCTTCATGGTGGCTGAATTGGTCGGTCTGGCTCCGGACTGTCTGACGGAACGGATGCGCTGGGTTGGCGATGGTTCAATGGGCGGCAGATTTTCGGTCTGCCCAGACACGGTCACGTGCATCCCGTCGCGCCTCCGTCATGGAGGGCCCCACTTCCGCTCGCCGTCCTCCGTCATGTCCGCACCCGCTGCCGGACTGCTCAAGATGAAGGCGAGCTGTTTTGGAAGCCATATCGACATGTTCAGAATACAAAACTTCTCGCGCAGGTCGACAAACATACGCCTTCACGCAGTTTGCCTCCTCGTGTAGGCCATGCTTATTCATCTTCACTTTTAAGACGACTCAGTGGCCATGGTTGACGCTGGACCTCAGCGACGAAAGGCCGGCGAGCTATCCAGTTCCCAGATGGTTAAGCGCCAGCGGTCTCAGTTTTGGAAGAAAAGACGAATGGGAATTCAGCAGGAATCTTTCGGAAGCGCCTCTGGCCAGCCATCAAGCCTCTTGTCTCCCATGAGGAAGCCATGCGAGTCATAATCCCGCAATCCTCCCAAATCATCAACGAAAACCATTGGCGAGGTGGCCGAGTGGTTAAGGCGACAGACTAGAACTTGGCATCCGCCGCTTTCCAGATTATCTGTTGGGTTCGCCCGCGTAGGTTCAAATCCTGCCCTCGTCGCGTAATTTGTACAGACGCACCCAGCTCAGCTGGGTTCATCACCAATCTTTTTTGCCATTTTCATTTCCCAGCTTCTTAGGAGCGGGGTCAGGCCGTGTTCGCCCCTCCGCCAGTGCTTCTAGAAGCTGGGGGAATCGCCTGCCTGGGCGACCGCCTAAACGTAGGAACGTGGCCTTTCAGCATCCGGCCGTGTCCCAATTTCGGTGTGGGGGCAAATCAGCATCGGAGAAAGGGTTTTTGCGGCGCAAACGCCCAGCGGCGCCCGCAAGCAGCCCGCTGCGACCCGGGAGCTACGACGGCGGCGGGTGGCTGCTTCTCCAAAACTTCCCTGCGTCCTTATAATCTGCAGTCCAACACGTTGCAAACCCCCTCGTGCTGATTCCCATCCCCGCCTGCGCCTTCGACTTTACGTCCTGCCTTTCTTCCCTTCTCTAATTCAATCGCCGTTCAACATCGCCAAAATGGTCAGCCCGCAAATGTACGTCTCTGAGTCTCGCCCGTCTGTATCCGCGATGCCCCCTCGTGGCGCATCGCAACGTCTTGATCGTATCTGACACAATGCCCCCATCACAGCACCAACCTGGTCATCATGCTTGGCATGATCCAGGTCTCTCGCAAGGTCGACTTCGAGAACCCCGATGTTCTGATGGGTTGCCGTGCCGCCTACATCGCCAGCAACCTCCTGATCGCCCTGGTCTACATCTTCATCCAGTTCAAGATCAACGCGAAGAAGGGTACGCATGCGCCAGGGTCTCAGACAGAGGCTAAGAACAATTGCTACCGGGAAGGTTGACTAACAAGCGTCGCAGACCTCACCACCCTCAAGTACGTTGAGCCGGCCCCTGTCGGCTCCTCCGAGGAGCCCAAGCTCGTCACCACCACCATCAACGCCTACGACTCGAGCCAGCTCAAGCAGCTCTTCCGCTCCCAGGCGATGGGCGTCGCCATGATGGCCTTCATGCACCTGTACATGAAGTACACCAACCCCCTCCTGGTCCAGTCCATCATTCCCCTCAAGAGCGCTCTCGAGAGCAACCTCGCCAAGATCCACATCTTCGGCCAGCCCGCCTCGGGCGACCTCAAGCGCCCCTTCAAGGCCGCCGCCGGCTTCATGAGCAGCCTCCAGGGCGGTGGTGTCCAGAGCGACAAGAAGTCCGTCGAGGCCGCCGAGCGTGCCGGCCGTGGCGGTGCCAAGGAGGAGTAAACGGACACTTCTGCCGTCTTCGAATATTCGACGGGCAGACGGGCGAAGCGCAGCCCAGTCTCCTGTCGCTGCGCGGCGCTTGTCTCGGGGGATTGGTGCACTTCGCCTTGGTTGTTCAACTAGGACATCATCGGGAAATGCTTCAAAAGTGCAGGCTGGGGAACATAGACTTGGAGGACCAGGTTGTAAAACAGTGCGCTGGGGCGTTTGACGAAGCCATTTTGCATTCAAGCAATGCTGATATTGCGCCAGTCGTGTCGTCCCGTCTTTCCACCCCTCATTGCTGTGCTCCAAAGTGAAGACCGTCACCGGACACCACAGCACGCATGCCACACGTGCCTTCCGTGCCTTCCCTTATAACCCCCCGACCTGCCCTACCTTCCACCAGCCGCCTGTGTCCCAACGCGACCGTAGCTTAACGGTAATAACTCTGGTGTATTATTGGCACGGCGAGGGGGTTCGATTCCCCTACTGACCAAGTAAAACTACACGCTACAGTGTGGTTTTCTGCCCCTCCGGATTCCTGTATAATAGGATGCCCATAGGGGGTGTTTTTGCCATTTTGCAGGCAGTGTACCAAAACCACTTTAAGATCGGCACGTGCTTTCGCGCTTCGACTCTGACATAATCGACACGGATGATGCGTCAACCCGCCGCGCCAGGAAAGTTGCCCCTCCACCGGTGCAAAACGCCACTCCCGTCTCTGCAACCGTTCATCTGCCAACAATCATTAATTCTCTCAACCGGTGAAAATCTGAGGAAGAGCCATTACCATACTGAACACCATGGAGCGCGCATCGACACCGCCAGCCCAAAGGGCAACACGATCTCGGGCGCGGACACCCCCAACTCCCGAAGTCACAAGACGGATAGTAAGTCCTCCTTGCCTCCCAGTCACTGCCTGTCCCAGTCCTCACCACCATCTCCCAGGAAGAGAACCGCCTCAAGGCCAAAGCCCTGCGCGACCAGCACGAAGCCGCCCGCCGCGCCGCCGGTGCCCCCGAGCTTGACAAGACCCCGTCAGGATTCGTCGCCACCGACACCGTGCACATCCCCAACACACGCAAACGAGCGCATGCCGCCATCTCGACGTCTCAGCCACCAACGTCCGGGACAGGGCCCTCAGAGAACAAGTCACTGTCTACCAACCGCGATGGCCGCGTCAAGACCGGCGAGGAAGCGCCGCTCAAGGCCGCAAAGTCCTTCGCAAAGTTCGTCGACTACAACATGTCAGCCATGACCGATACCAGGGGTGGCTTCCTCTCCACAGAGGACGACCCCAACAACCCGGCCCTCGCAGGCCCGCGCCCCAAACCTGGCGACCAGCCGCCATCAGAGGCAAGACCGCAGGGTATGACGGCCGAGGAATGGCAGCGTCTGCAGACCCTCAGGCGGCTGGAGCGCACAAAGGCCGGGCCGTTCGAGCCCTCCCTCTCCGTGCTGCGCGATGCCTCGGAACGCGCCGTCAAAAAGTGTCGCGAGTGCGCCTCCCCCGAGATCGACTTTGTCTGGGTCGAGGTCTTCCGCATCTATGTCTGCGCCGCCTGCAAGGAGAAATTCCCAGACAAGTACTCGCTGCTCACGAAGACCGAATGTCGCGAGGACTACCTCCTCACCGAACCGGAGCTACGCGATGCGGACCTACTACCGCACTTGAGCCGACCGAACCCACACAAGAGTCATTGGCACGACATGATGCTCTTCCTACGGTGCCAGGTCGAGGACTACGCATTTCACACGAAATGGGGCAGCTCCGAGGCCCTTGATGCCGAGTTTGAGCGCCGCCAGGACGAGAAGCGTGCTCGTAAGGACAAGAAGTTCCGCGAGAAGCTGACGGACCTTAAGCGCAAGACGCGCACTGAGGCGTTTCGCCGGCAGGCGGCCGCGAGCAAGAGCGGTGGCGGCGGGCCGGCCAATTTTGGCGATGCTGTGGGCAACGGGAGGCATGTCCATGAATGGGGTCGAGCGATTGAGAACGAGGAAGGCATGACAGTCAAGACGTGCACAGGGTGTGGGATGGAGGTTGAGGAGCTGGAGTTTTGATGCCCGACGGGAGGAAAGAATTATGATACCATGTTTTTAGATTTGCACAGCGAGCCAACACATACCTATTTGCGATTTGCACAAGAAGCGCCGAGAATGCATCTCTGATTTACATGCCCTGGGTGTCGGCATGGTGGAGCAGCAGCCATGGGAGTTTACATATTACAAGAACGAACCCTCCGGGCGACACCTCCTCAAGTGAGACGTCCGCACAGCCAGGTCAGTTCCGCAGCTCAAGCCATCCATCCAACCCCCCTATGAAATCCGTCCTATCCCGTTTGAAGCCACAGCTTCATTCTACCATCTCAAGCAATGCCCTCTTCGCCTTCTTCCCCTGTTACTTCGTACAAGTCGTAGGTAGATCGACAGAGTCTGACCACTCGCCGTGGCAGTGCCAGTTTGGCGTGTCCACGACGCTCTACCGCGCAAACACCTTGACCATTCCGTCACCGCCGCCGCTGACGACCCACTTGCCGTCCTGGCTCCAGACGACGGAGCACACGCCTTCGCCACGCATGATGCGGTGACTCGTGATCTCCTGCGTGCAGGATCGCTTTTCGAGGCTCCAGAACCGGAGACTGGCGTCGTGGCCGGCGCTGACGAGCTCCTGGCCGTCGGGGCTTAAGGACAGACTCGAGATGGCCGCCGGGTGGGCGAGCATGTTGTATGTACATTGGCCTGGACAGGTTAGCTGTAGGGTCTTTGAGACGGGTATATGCTTGCTCTTACCGCTGTTGGCATCGAAGAACCGAACGAATCGATCCTCGTGTCCAGAGATGATAACGCCCTCAACGCCCGAGCCGGCCATGGAGCGACCACCACCAGTAGGCCCTCCTGTTGTCGTTGCGTCCTCTTCCGACAGGCTGCCGGCATGCTGGCCTTGGTCCAGACCAACGGTCGTAGCCACGACGGCGTTGACAGCAGTGTTTACCGAGCCGTCGTACGTCTCGAGACTGTCCATGGTGCCAATTTGCTCGCCGGACCGGGTGTCGTAGACGATGATAGATGCGTCCGAGTATGACACAACAAAGGACTCTCCCGAGGGGCTGAGGGGCGAGATGCATGTTGGCGTAGCCGTAGATCCTTCGGGTCGTGAGATGCTGTGGACAAGTGTGTGGTTGAACGGAGAGTTGGAGGCCATGGTCGGCTGAGGCGAGTTGGGGAACGCGCTGCCCGAGCTCATCGAGTTGCCACGGACCCTTCCTCTGGCTCCCGGGGGACCACCCCTTGTCGCGCCAGGTTGTGGCGACGTGAGCTGGGGGGGTGCGCTGACTGCCCAGAGCTTCACGGTGCCGTCGGCGCCGCCCGAGATGACGAGGATCCTGTCCGGGGTGCCGTATGCGCTCGATTGTCCAAACACGGAGCCGAGGGTTGCGGGCAGGACGCAGATGGCCCAGACAGCATCAGTGTGCCCATCGAGCGTAGCCTTGGGGTCAACACGGCCGCGTTCCCATACCCTGATGGTAGCGTCCTGTCCACCGGAGAAGATCCAACCGTCGCCCTGGGCCCGGCCGCCGGTAGAGAAGTTGGGCGAGGGCCACCACGAGGTCAGGCAGAGCACGGCGCCCGAGTGGCCGCGGTGGGTGAAGTTTGCCATGACATCAAGGTCGGAGGCTGCGTTACCCATAGGGCTGTCGAATCTCGGAATGTGGAAGCGCTTGATCATGCCGTCGTCACCGGCGGTGCAGATTTCTGGTTCTCCAGGACTACCGCCGCCAGAGAAGATGACCGTCCGCACCGTGTTAAGGTGGCC